TGACAGAGAGAACCACTTACCCACTTACTAAGAAATGGAGATATTTTCATCTAGGAGCCATTATTTTTGAGAGGTTAGATAGTTCTTTGTTTCTTGCCACAAAGTGTTCATGGAATATAATTTCATCTTCATTTCAGGTTTCACGGAGAAAATACAAGGGCAGTCAGCTGTGTGATGAGAGATCACGCAGCCAGAGACGTTTTCCTTTAAAACCACAGGCTGTGTCTGTAAAGAAGTGTGCGGGGGGGGGGGGGGGGGCGCAGCGTTTGCAACAGGTGAGTGAGGCAGATCTTTCTGCATTAATGTAGAGATGTGCTGGAATTTATCAAGTGAGGGTCAGACACACTGAGACAGGGTGGATACAAGGAAAGACAAGCTGTAGCTACACACGTGATTTGTAGCTTCTGAAATTACATTATTCTAAGGGTGTCACCAATAACTAAGTTTAAGGATCAAGTCAAGTTTTAAAATGAAGTGAAGAATTATCTGGTTTGCTTATTTTCTCATGTCCAGAGAATTCCCGTTAGTAAATTCCAAGGTGGTCAATCAGAGGCCTTGTTCAGGTTTGTGGATGAGAGAAAGCTCTAGGAAGTTCAAAACGTCAAAAGTCATGAGACTAAGGCAAGCCTTGACCTTAAGCGTGGCCTATCAGCTGTTTTAATCTTTTTGAGAGGTATTTCTGGAAAGATGGAATCGACATTTTTGTAGGCTGTCTTGCAATGGCATGGTTGAGTGTGTTGAAATTTTTTGATTCTCAGCCAGTGAGAGACCTAAGCTGGACTCTTTCTCTGCCTCCTTAATTTCCCCATCTTTTTTGCCTCCAAACCTGACTTTGAACGGCAGCTTTGTGTTGCATTTCTGCTCTTCCCTGCCCTGCTCTATGGAGAAAGTTGGCCTCTCTCCTACCCAGCATCCTGAAACCTTTTTCTACAGCAGAATTGCAATTAAATGCCAACGGAGGTCTTTGTGTTTACTGCAGTTTTGCCATTGAGTAGAAGGAAATATTCTTTCTCTGATGTTGAAGGGAAGCCAATTATGTATCTTTCAGTGACCAGCAATTCCTAGAAATAAATATGATTTAGATGGAAAAGATACAAACTGAGAGGTTAGTGCTTTTCTACCAAATTAATTCCAATAGAAGCTTCTAGAGTATTACCTCTAACTCTTTGTTTTATATCTTTGAATACTCATTAAAATCTAGGAGTAGTACTCATTAAGTTCTTACGAATCACGCATTATGTGCTTTGTAGCCACAGGAAGCAGAGCAGAGGGCTGATGAGACAAATGCCCTACACTTGCAGAACCTAGGTGTTATCTGGGAGACAGGACAAGCAACAGTCACGAATGTGTGACAGAGTCAGCTGAGGACTTCAAAAGGATGCTGCAGCGGAGCCAAAGTGCCAGTGACACCAGTGCCATTGAAAGATCAGGAGGGCATTTTAAAGAAAGGCGGCATCTGAGCAAGGGCATGGAACGAGGAAGGATGGGGACATCGTGGGAGGAAGGAAGGGATGGCGACATCGTGGCAGGGGTGTTGCAGGAGAAGGCCCTAAAAAAAAAAAAAAAAAAAAGGATCCCTCAGCTTCTGGTACGTGTAAGATTCACTGGGGTTCTGGGTAGTGCTATCAATTTCACTCATCGATGGTAAGTTGGAGGTGCTACCTCATCTGCAAGGATGGAGGACCACCAGCCAATGGATCCAAGAGGTGGTTAAGACAGGAAGGAGGGAAGGCTTTCCAAAAAAAGGACATGGAGTAAGAGGCAAGCTCACATCTGTCCCCCAGTTACGGCCCTGGCTTTTCTCAGCTTCTCTATTCCTGGCTGTTTTCCTCATTTTTTCCCTTTAGTTCAGCTGGTTTAGCCAGTGAGGCCTGCCTTCCCAACCCTACCTGTGATGAAGGAGACTGTGTGTGGGGACCACCTGCTCATGGCCCTCTCGTTCTTTGTATCCAGGCAACAGTGGGTAATGAGCACTGGGGCAGCCTTGAGGAGGAGTGAAGGGTGAACAGGGGACTTAGGGAAGGGAACAAGGGGACCTGGGACACAGGACAAGAAGCACCCGTATTCCGAAAGGAAGGAGTTCCCTGGCCATTGTGTACTACCATATGAGTCTTGAGTCTGCCTTGAGGGTCATGAAAGGGTCATCCTCTTAACACACTAATCAGCCTGCCTAGAATCACCAGGCCCTTCTCTTTCCTTCTTTCAGCTGTCTTGAATTTTGCTAAAATTCAAGGCTAGTCTGTCCAAGCCACTAAAAATTTATTAGAAAAGGGTATTTTCTCCTGAAGCCCAAAGGTGAGACCTGAGCAACAGGGGGTTCTCCAACACACACACACACACACACACACACACACGCACGCACGCACGCACGCACGCACACACACACACTCACACACATGCACATACACATACACACGCACACACATGCACACACACACATGCAGGCACACACACATACACACACGCACACACACGCACGCACGCACACACATGCACACACACATACACATGCACACACACGCACACACACGAGAGAGAGAGAGAGAGAGAGAGAGAGAGAGAGAGAGAGAGCAAATAAATGCAATAAGGCAATTTGTTGGGAGACTGGGCAGACTGCTTGAATCAGGCAATTAAACTGCCATAGAAAACTCAATGTTCTTTTCTAAACTGGTAATCTGATGCTGGCAGACAGCCTTCCTAGTCACCAAGTGTCCACTAGGCTGAGTGCCGGGCAAGCCCTAAGAACTGACCCTGAAAACAACACACAGATGAAATTCTTCTTGTATCAAAACAAGCTGTGAGGACAGGATGCAGTTGGAGGTCTCTCTGTCTCCTCCGCCTGGGTCTGGGTTACTACAGTTCACCAGGAAATTGTTTGGATCCTGAAAAAGCTCCAAAGCCTGCCTTGTGGAGCCCATGCTTCTAGGCTTCCTTGTAGCTCCTCCTTTGTGATCAGAAGATGGCTTCATAACCACAGGCTGGGCCTCATGGCTCATATGGTTCCCGTCAGGGCAAGAAGAGAACCCATGCTCACTGCTCCCGGATTCAGGGTGAACACCCTCATGTGAAGAAACCCCAGGAGCCCTGCATCCAGGGTGTGGTCCCTCTGCACCCTGAGGCTGAGGCCCCCTGGTGACAGCTGCATGCACAAGCCCCTTCCCATGCTCCTTCCTTGTGCACACACTGCCTCTCTGTGTGTCTCCTTCCTGTGGTGAGGACACACATGGAGAAGTGACAACCCGTGAGCCCTGCTGCTTCCCAGGAGTCCCAAGGGTGTGGTTGTGTGGGAGGTAGGGAGCAGCCAGGGGTCTCCTGGCACTGACAGGTGCCAGCTGCTTTGTGGGAGCCAAGGGGTTTAATGGTCCCCAAGGTGGTGAGATCTCCCCCAGCTTCCTATCTCATTTCTGCCCTGCTGGGTCCTGCGTTTTCCTTCAGTATTAGGAACCATGCTCTGACCACAAGATGCTAACATGGAAGGAGAGTGCCACTGGGCCCAGGCACAGGGACAGAGTATCACCAAGGCCAGTGCCAACCAAGGTGGTGACAGTGCTGGCCTTGACACCTTGTCTTGGTCTACAGTCCTGTGACCTTCATGGATGCTAAGGGGAAGAAGACTCCTGAGCTTCACTCCTTAGCAGCGCAGATTCAGTCCCCAGATGTGACTAGTAGTGACCTATCAACATCAGAGCTTAGACATGTCCTACCTAGGTGTAATGTCATAGAAACCACTAACTGCAGCATCTCTGAACAGTGTGTACATTTGTTCGGTCCCTGAAGCTCCTCCTTCTACTGTTCAGCCTCACCATCTACAGTAAGATATGCCTCTAGCATCATTTGGCTGAAAACTATTATAAAATTATAGGTATGCAGGAAAGGAAGGTCCCTACAGAGCAGGTCCCATCAACACTGAACATTAAGAGCAGAGGCCAGTCTGTGGCAGCCTCCATAGCTCTGTCTATGGATCACTTTCAGGCCTGAAGATCTGAGTAGTGAATTTTGATAGTTAGCAATTAAGCTGTATAGTTTAAGCTGGGATCCTCAGGATGCCACTTCATTTTCCACACTGCAGGGGCACGATTAGAAGCTACTGTCCATTCATCAGGTTTCCAAGTGTGCAGCCATCTGGGTGTATCTGGTCTGTTCTATGTCCTAATGTGACTGAACCAAAAGTCCCCCTTTTAAACTGCACCCCACTCTCCAGCTCTAAGCCATGCAAGGGAGTGGGTGTGTTGCCAAGGGTTCAGAGAGGGGTTGCCAAAGAAACATTGATGCTGGCAATTTTGACCCCACTAGGTACAGAACTGATATGTCCCTTACATATCCATTGCTAGTGAAGACTATAATGTCTGTCTCTATCCACAATGGATGAACTGGCACTCACTGCAGTAGGGGCCCACCCTGGATCTCATTCTTAGCCACCTCTAATCCTAAGCCCTGGGGCTCTGTCACCCGAGTCACATTCCTGTACTACAAGGGGTGCAGTAGTCCTGTTCCATTTCAGGAAATGAAATTGTTGATTTTTCATTGACACAAAAATGAAAAATAAATGCCAGATGTTTGGAAACCTAGTACAAACGCATCTCACTGGAACTTACAAGGGCATTGGGACAGAAAAGATTTCAAGTTAGAAGACCCACAAAGCAAAAGAGATGTTTTGAATGAAAATACATTTTGTCTTTCTCTCACACACACAACAGTAACCTATTGTTTCTTTTTCAGGGAGCAGCTGCAAAGGAAATTAAGGGAGGGGACAGACACAGCATCCCATCTTTGTGCCTCATACAGAGCTTAGCTTTGAGGCCAGTCTTCCTGAGCTGTGTGGGGTGTGGCATGCATAACTATCAAAGGCCAGTGGCCTGATGGGAGCTTATAAAATGACTTGGGAGAAGCCAGGCACCAAAACAGGCGCCTCACTTGGAGGATTGTGTGGCAACTTTGACCATCTTAATAAAAAACAAGGTATGTACGTAGATGTAACTTTCACTTAGGATAAATGAAGTTTAAAAAAGAGACTTTCCACAGCCCCCTTTCAGCTTGAACGGTAAGTACGGACGGAGGGCTTTCATGCTAGCTCCACAGGCCCCATCTCATTTTCCTCAAACTTAAAAGGTAGGTACTATTGGCACGTTTTCAGGTGACAATTTGGAGGGGTAGGTAAGCCTGTGTTTGCTCTCATGGCTTATATCGTCCACCCTCCCCCTACCCAAAGGAGACCATGAGAAAGTTGCCTGTGTTCCAAGACAGCACCAGATGAATTCTCTAGAGCGGTTTAACTGCCCCTGATGGTAAGATCAACTGGAAACTGGGATTGCTTGTGTGAGCAATGTACTCCATAGCTGGACACGAAAACATTTTGTTTAGATATGTGGTGTGTGATTTGATGGATGTGGTGGTGTAACTCTTTAACCCTCGCACTAGGGAAGCAGGCATCACAGGCTTGAGGACAGCCTGGACCATGTAGGGGGAAAAAAGAAGGAAAGGAAGTGGGGGTGGGGCGTGTCTTGTTCTATTCAAAGGCTATAGGGATTTGTTTGTTTTTAAGATCTATTCACTCATGGAAATATTTTATTTTGCCATGTGAAATTGCAGAATCTAGTTAATGCCATACAGCTTCTTGAGGTCGGGGACTGGTTACAGTGACATGTATGTGTCCCTGGAGACCTGGGCTCAAGTTGTGGCCTTATAAGAGTTCGAAGAATTAAGCTGAGCAATTGACCTTACAGAGAACAGGGTCAGTTTCAGCACAGGTGGCTTCTAGAAGAGATGTTGGGGATTTGGTGTAGGCCACACGGTGGATACTGAGGCCAGTGCTTCCCATGGAGAGCCCCAGAAAGTCTGATCCACAGTGTATCTATCCCCAGTCAGGGTCTACCCAAAGTATACTGCAGCCTTGGGAGAATTACCTCCAAGTTATTCAATAGTCAGCTGAAACTATAGTTGAGCTTATTTCTAAAAGTAAACTCACCATGACAATCTTCTTGTGATATTTGATGATAGTAAGATATGCATTATAAATCGTGCATCTTTTACCCAGAGTTATACGTGCATGCCAATAGCATACTCTGCCAATGTTAAGTGGATCCAAATGGAAAGAGCATGGAAAATCAGCCTCTCCCCTCTCAAGGATTTTTAGCTATTGGAAGAAAACTCAAACAACCAGATGGCATCTCTGGAAGCCATGTAGTCAAAGGGAGTGAGCCTTGTTCTCCCACAGAACTGAAGGGTATGTTTCAGCCCACAGGAGAACATTTCATCATAAGACATTTTTTCAGAGTTAGACATGACTTGTTATCGCTGTAGCATGATGAGGCAGGGCTCATTGGGGCTCATCGGGCTCACAGGCAGCCGTTCATTGAAAGGCATAAAGATGGATGCAGAATGGCACACGGCCAAGAGGCTATGGGTGGAGAGCCGGCCTTGTCATAGTCCTGCTCCTTTCCAGGCCTCAGTTTCCCATCTGCACATCTGGCAGGGGTGAGGGGAGCTGGGTAGATGTCCTATAAGGTCCTTTCCATTTGGAAACACAGTAGAGAGTGTGCATACTATGTGCCACACGTGAAGTCCAATGCTTGAAAAAGGGCATTGGCTTGGGCCTGCTGGTCAGAGCTGTGCAGCTCCCAAGAGGCCTTGAGAATGGGTACAAAGTTTTGTGAGTTTAGGCTGGGTTTCTTACAAACACTCCACCTTCTGAGATGTTATAACATGGGTGTTGTCTATATAGTGATGGGGAAGGGGACCTCTAGGACTAAAGATGCTGGTTCCTCCACAGATTTGCTCAAGAGAACCTCAGCAGCCACCCCCTCCCCAACCCACCCCAGCTGGCAGCTCCCACTCCTTACATAACTGTTCTTTTGAAAACCAGGCAACAAAACCTTCAGAAGAAAAAGCTATTGATTATTAAAGTTATTTGGAGGTTCAGAGCCTTGTAATGAAGTGGTTATAATTATTCCTGTTATGACACGTCCTTTTCAATGCTTGGATCTGAGAACATTTTGCTTGCATTGACTCAGTCACCTTCATCTCGGAGAGAAAGGCAGCGAGCTAGAAATAGCTTATGTGCAGTGAGAGGCAAGGAGTCACAAAAAGGGAAGAGAGGAAAGGCAAGTTAGGGGAAAGAAACAGAGAGGAACCCAGAGTGTCCATCCATGGCCTGCACTGACAGCCATGGCGCTCTCCTGTCTATCCAATGTCCCTCCCCAGAGCCAGTTGTGGTCCCCAGAGGACTTCTGTATTGAAATAATGTTTCACTCCTCACTTAGCGCCCAGGCCTCCTGTGGTTTAATGCACATCCTCTGTGACAAACATCCTCAGCCATGGGGAAACACCTGGGAAATACCCATCCTGCTTCTGCTCTTCATAATAAAGATGTTAGTATTTAGTTGGGCAAGGCAGCACATGTGTAATTCCCAGCACTCACAGGCAGAGGAAGGAAGATCTCTGTGAGTTCAAGGCCAGCCCAGTCTACAAAGCAAGTTCTAGCCTAGGCTAATAGTGAGAGGCTGTTTCAAGATAGATAGATAGATAGAAAGAAAGAAAACATTTACTGAGTACCTGCTTGGTGTCAGTCATCACTCTGAACATTCATATTTCACCCCACTCTCCCTCTTTCTGGGAGGGGGTGTCTTCTTATATCATTAGAGCTGTCTTAAGTTGGTGGACTCCAGAGCTGTCCCACCTAAGCCTGTCTAATAGACCCCTTTGCCACCACCCCTGGCTTTATCTTTGTCCTATTCATTTTCCCAAAAATTCACAAGACAGGCATCACTCACTATTAATCCTACTTCATAAGCCAAGAAACAAAGGTCTAACTTGCGCAGTTACACTTAGTAGGTGGCAGAGCCAGAATTGGAACCATCTGAGTAATGCTGGGTCCCCCACATGCCGCTCTTGGTTAAGGACCCTGGACCAAGTGTGGGTTGATAGGACAGCCCAGCAAGACGTTGGCAAGGACAAAGTGCAGGGTCTGGGGAGCACTTCCTTATGAGTCCCATAGGACAGTTAATGTTGTGCATGATTTGGAGTTGATCTTTTTCATTCACAGGCCCTTTGACTTTCCTCTTTGTCTATCCCCTGTATACACATTATTTTTGTTCCAGAAACAAATACCTACTGAACCTGACGTTTCCAGGATTTCTGGGATGATTCTGAGGAGAACTAGACAGGGTGCCTACCCTGGAGAAATATTCAGTTGGGCGGGGAAGGGTGCAGGTCCCCGAAGGAGGCTAATCTAGCACGAGAACAAGAGGTACCAGGGCTCTGAGGTGATGGCCTCACTGTGGCTGAATGGCCAGGCTGGCAGCAGCTGCAAGATGCAGCTCCTCGGTGCTGAGAATGCCAGCTGAGGGACCAGGCCCTCAAGGACTCTCCATCATTGTGTGTCCTCAGGAGATCCAGACACCTCCAGCTGTGTTGTTTCTCCCCAGGCCTCTCCTGAAGCCACCAGACCCAAGATGGTGACAATGCTGTTGCTCCTGGCCACCCTCGCAGGCCTCTTCAATGCAGCCAAGGGACAAAGTTTTCATCTTGGGAAATGCCCGTCTCCTCCAGTGCAAGAGAATTTTGACATGAAAAAGGTGTGGTAACTCAGACTTCTCTTTGTTTCAGCCATGCTGAGAGGTTTATTTTATTCTTTAATCTCCAAAGCAAGCCTCAGGGGAGAGTAGGGGTCTCTGCAGTCACAGGCAGCAGAGTAACAATCCATGTGAGGCAAGAAGGAAATACGGTTCAGCACAACCCAGTAGCCGGTGTTGGTTCAAACTTGTAGAGTCTGACGCCAGGCAGTTTATTTTAGTCATATTTAAGTGACACTTGGAAAAAAATGTCCCGGTGTAACACAATCCCATGTAAACAAAGCTGTGTAACTACACTGAAACTCACTCAAAATACATGTCACTTCTTCCATGAAGATGGGCTCTCTATATAGGCTGCATGTATTATCTTAAGGGCCTGGGGAGGAGGCATCTAGTATAGTCTCCATCATACATATAATACAGAAGTCATCTAGCTTATTAGCCACCTCTGGCTCTGGTTGTGGGAGCTTGGGGGAGCCTCTGGCCATACAGATAATGCAAATGTCACCTAAACTATTAATGACCTCCAGTCCTGGTTGAGGGAGATTGAGACGGGGGTTGGTATGGCTTGGCTCTATAGATAGCACAAGGTTACCTAGGCTATTAGCCACCTCCATCCCCAGCTTTCTGAGTGGAAAACAGGTTCCTTGAAAAGACAACCCTGCCTGTTTAACATTCCTGGCTTCCCTATTGCCATCTATGGTCATAAGGACCTTTGCACTCCCAACAGGAAAGGCACTTACTTGATTTTAGGTTCTCTGTGAAACAGTCTCTGAGGCTATCTAGAAAGGGGAGGAGGGGAATCTTTGGTGTTTTGGCTTGCCTCACATATGGATGCCAACAGGCCATAGGAGCTCCCATGGCCCTGGCAAGGGAGAGCACAGGGTGGCAAGCATGAGCCATCAGAGTATGGGAATTGTCCCCCACCACTATGGGGAGGTGGGGATGAGGTTAGGGGATGTGAATAGGGGCATTAGCTATGGCTGGTTCACAACTCTTGTCCTACATAGAGGAAACTAGAGTATCCTTAGGTGATACAGCTGCTACATGCACATTGGGACATTGGGTTCAAAACTAGTCTTCCTGCCAGATAACTAGAGACAGGACCTGGGAAAGGCCAGAAGTCCCCCCCCGGGGGGGGGGAGTCTTGTTGTCTATAATATAACTAGTTCCCTGTAAATGCTTCTTCTTCCTGGAATGAGGTAGAGGGAGCATCAGAAGGACGGCTGCTATTAGATGATAGAACTCAGCGGTCCCATGACTGAGGAAGGCCTGGACTCTAAGCAAAGGCCCCTGCTCCTTAAAGGGTTTTGGTTGCTTCTAGGGAGTGGCACACTGAGTCTGAGAAACACTGAAATTATCAGTCACTGGAACTTTGGGGTGAGTGTTGGGAATGTTAGAAGGTGGGCTAGACAGAGCTTCGACGAAAAAGAGATTAGAAGGGCAGAATAAGATGGCAGTGAGTATCCAAGGTAAGGAAGGAAAAGCCACAATAAGTCTGCACTGGCATTCTTCACTATCATTTTAAGGATTCCCTTTAATTGAGTGAACCTGGGAAACCCCAAAACAAAAACAAACAAACAAGCAAAAAAAAAAAAAAAAACCCACATTCATGATACTAGTCATGATCATTTGAGTTTGATTTTAGTCTGGGAGTTAAAATGTCAAAATAGTCTGGAAATTATAACTGATACCTTAACTTACAGAAGTCCTTTGAGAACTGAAGCAGAATGTCTTTTTAAAAGATCTTTTAAAAGTGTGTCTGTGTGTGAACATGCTGTGGAAAGTGTTGGATTCCCTGGAGCTGGAGTTACAGGCAGCTGTGAGCTGTCCAACAAGTATGGCAGGATTTGAACTCCAGTCCTCTTTAAGAGCAGGAAGCACTCTTGACTGCAGAGCCATCTCTCCAGCCCTAAATCAGAATTTTTTTAAGACAAAAATTTTTATTAAGATTAGTTTATATAGCATAGTACTGGCTTGTTCTAAAAAGTTTTTTATTTCAAGGATTTTTAATATATTCAGTTATGCAACCATCATTAAATCAGTTTTAGAAGGCTTTTATTATCTTAAGAAGAAACCACAAACCCACTAACAGTCTCTCTAGCTACATTACTCAGACTTTTCATCGCTGTGACAAATACCCAAGAGAAACAACTTGAAAGAGGGAAGATCTGTTCTGGGCCCTGGTTTCAGTGCTCTCCGTGCATGATTCATGTGGCCCACAGGCTTATGGTGAGGCACATCCTAGGACACATAGGTCAGAAGGCTGCTTAGCTTATGGTGGCCAGTAAGGGGAGAGAAACAAGAGTGCAAACAAGAGCCATCTCTCCAAAGCGTGCACTCAGTGGCCTGCCTCCCCTAACTAGGCCCCTTCCAATAAAGCAAATCATCAATGGACTAATCCATTGGCTAGATCAAAGCTTTTGGCATCCAATCACATCCTTAAAAGCCCCATCTCTGAACTCTGCTCACATCAGGACCAAACCTCCAACACAGAAACCTGAGAAGCTTCGCATCTAAACCAGAATGCTCCTTTTCTTCCCAACTCTGCCATACCCACACAACCAATATTTTATTTCCCGTCAATATGAATTTGTCTGTGGAACATACAAGGCTAGCTTTTTGTGACTGAAGGAAATGTTTTGAAGGTTCAGCTGAGACACAGCATGCATCAATAATCCATTCCTTTTGTTGCCATATGACATATGGATGATGCTACAGTTATTTACCCTTTTCGTTTGGGTTGTTTTATTTTTTTGTTATAGAAATGCTGCTGCTGTAGACATTTAGGCTTGGGGCTTTTTTTGGAAGAGAGGGGCTTATGTTTTCTGTTCTTTGAGGTATATATGAAGTATAATTGCTGATGTGGTAACTCCATGTTTTACTTTTTGACAAGTTGTTGGACTGTTTTAGAAGAATTGCACCCTTATACATTCTTACAAAAAGCCTCTAACACTAATTTCCTTACATCTTTATCAGCAGTTGTTATCATTGTCTTCTTTTATTATAGATATCATAGTGGTCTTAAATAGCATCACTATTTCCTAAGGGCTAATGGTGTTGAGTGTCTTTTCATGTACTTATAAGCCAGGTGTAAATTTTCCATTCAGATCTTTTGCCCCCCAACAAAAAAAAGCTGGGCATGGTAATGCACATCTTTACTCCCTGTGAGAGGCAAAGGCAGGTGGATCTCTGAGTTTGAGACCAGCCTGCTCTACAGAGTGTGAGTTCTAGGACAGACACAGAGAAACCCTGTCTTGAAACAATTGTCCCCCAAATCTTTTAATTGTTAATATCCATATGCTCTCTTCCTCAATGCTAGATGCAAATCTTTCCCAGACATGTTAAAATAGCTTATCCCATTTGATGGATGTTGTTGACTTTTGTTTTTTTATACTATAGCCCTACATTGAAACACCAAATGTTGTTGGTTATATTTACTCTTTGCTCTTTTGGGGGGACCACCACCCAGCTCCCAAAGAAATCACACACAGAGGCATATTCTTTCTTATAAATACCCAGCCTTAGCTTGGCTTATTTCTAGCCAGCTTTTCTTAACTTAAATTATCCCATCTACCTTTTGCCTCTAGGCTTTTATCTTTCTCTATTCTGTATACCTTTGTTTACTTCTTACTCTCAGCTGGTAGTGTAGCTGGGTGGCTGACCCCTGGCATCCTCTCCTTTTTTTGCTCCTTCTTTTTGAACCCTCTTCCCAAATATTTCCTCCTATTTATTCTCTCTGCCCGCCAGTCCCGCCTATTCTTTCTCCTGCCTTGCTATTGGCCATTCAGGTCTTTATTAAACCAATCAGGTGTTTTAGGCAGGCAAAGTAACACAGCTTCACAGAGTTAAATAAATGCAACATAAAAGAATGTAGCACATCTTTGCATCATCAAAACAAATGTTCTGCAGCATAAACAAATGTAGCACATCTTACAAGAATACTCCACAACAGATGGAACCTTTTCTTCTATCATACACCCTTTGAAGCATAAGGGGTTTTTAAAATACTGATCAAGTCCAATTTGTCTACTTTTCTGTTGTTGTTGTTGTTTGCACTTGCGGGGTCAGGCAGACAAACTTAAGTGCCTAATTAGTAAATATCTCATTAGTTCAGTAGGTAGCACACTGCCTCATACCTAGAGAATAATCCAAGGCTATAAAGATTTACACCTATATGTTCTTCTCAGGGTTTTATAGTTTAAGCCCTTGTTTTTAAGCCTTTGATCCATTTTAAGTTACATTTGTGTCATAGAAGCATCCAACTCCATTTACATGTCTTTCCAGTTGTTCTAGCACCATTTGGTAAAAAGACTAATTCTCCATTGATAGTTTTAATATCTGTAGTGAAAATCAGATGACCATGTATATGAACGTTTATTTTCAAACTCTCAGTTCAATTCTAGCTATGTCTAGACTTACTACACTTTTGATTATTACAGTTTTGTCATGAGTTTCTAAACAAAATGTAGTTTTCCATCTTTATTCTTCTATTTTGTCTCTTGTATTTTCACATGAATTTTATGATCAGCTTGTCCATTTCTGCAGAGAGTATGACGAACAATTTGTGGAGTATTTCCATCATAGCCCTTGCTGTCCACACGCATAAGCTATCTTTCTATCGATATTTTTGTTTTATTTTGGTTTTGGTTTTTCAAGACAGGGTTTCTCTGTGGGTAACCCTAGCTGTCCTGGAACTCACTCTGTAGGCCAGGTTGTCCTTGAACTCAGAGATCCGCCTGCTTCTGCCTCCCAAGTGCTGAGATTAAAGGCATATACCACCACTGCCTGGCATCTATTTACCTTCTTTGGGTTGTGTCCACCCCACCCCCACCCTCTGTGCTTCTAGGGTTGGAACACAACAAAGACTTTGTATCAGCCAGAAAAGCTATCACTGAGTTATGGGCCCAGCTCTCTTTTGCATCGCCAGCATTTTGAATTACTTGAGTATACTTGCTTAGTCAAAATATTAATTATATTCATTCTCTAAAGTGTAAAAATATTTTGTAGTTTTCAACATACACGTTTTTACATTTCTTTAATTAAATTTAGTCCTAAATATTTTCTTTCTCTTCATGTTATTAAAATGGAATTTTCTTAATTTCATTGGCAGGTTTTTCATTGAATGTATAGAAACACTTTTGTATATTGATCTTGTACTTTTTAAATTTGCAGACTCATATTTCAATAGGCTTTTTGTTGTTGTTTATTTTTAAGATTTCTTAGGGATAGAGCTCAATTGCACAAAGTTTGACTACCATTACCAAATAATCTCTAATCTTAGATGAAGTTAAGTGAAGGCAAGAGGAATATCTAAGATCCCTCAAAAACAATTCCTTAGGACTTTGTACATACAGTAATAGATCATCTGCAAATAAAGGTGATTTTGCATCCTTTCTAGTTTTCTTTTTTAAGACATCGAATTGTCCTTATATAGAAATTCAATAAGAAAGATTTACAGAGAAATATGGGATCATGAGGGAGCATAATCTAACAACCCCTCACCTCTGAGTTTCCTTGTTTCTAGAGAGTCATACTTCCTTGCTCTTAACTGTGGATCACTCAAGTTGCTTGAGTAGTTAGGAACTATGTTAAAGTACCATAAGATGGAAATTTTTCTGAGGGTACTTATGAAACACATTAGCCTAATTTTTGGGTTCTTGCAACGAAGGACTAGTTCAACAGGGTTGTTTTGTTTTGTTAGGTTTTTGTTGCTATGATTTGTTTGAAATAGGGTCTCCTGTAGCCCAGGCTAGCCTTGAACTTTCCAAGTATCTGTTGCTAACCTTGGATTCTTGATTTTCCCAATCTGTGCACCTCCCAGATTCTGGGCTTAGAGGCTTCTGCCAAGTTTCATTGTTTTTAACTGACTGTTGGGATTTACTACAGGAGTGGTAAGAGTATGCGGACATGTGCTTGAACAGGGTCACATGACTAAAGCAGCATTGTTACTTATTCTCAGGATACTTGTGAAAGTTTGAAGATGAATGCATGCTTTACTTGCTCTGTTGATGGACAGATTTTTACACTTTAGAGAATGAATATAATTAATATTTTGACTAAGCAAGTATACTCAAGTAATTCAAAATGCTGGCGATGCAAAAGAGAGCTGGGCCCATAACTCAGTGATAGCTTATCTGGCTGATACAAAGTCTTTGTTGTGTTCCAACCCTAGAAGCACAGAGGGTGGGGGTGGGGTGGACACAACCCAAATTCCAAAGGTCCAAAGGAGCATGCAATGAAGTTAGTCACCTTAGTTTCCAACCCCAGAAGCAACTGGTAAAACCAGCATATTATATGCCTCTTTTCGGATAATGTGTACATATACAAGCAAATATGTATAGGTGTGTGGTAGGCAAAATAACAGCTTCCAGATGTCCATGGCTTGTTGTCTAACTCTGAACACCCTACCTTCCATGGAATAAAGGGATTCTACAGAGGTGACCTTAGATAGCCAATTTGGTTATCCAGGCAGACCCAACTTAGTCTCATAAATTATTAGAAGCAGAACATCTTTCCTAGATGTGGTTAGACAGAGAGATGAAGAAATGAAAGTCAGGGAGTTGTAGTGGAAGATCAGCTGACCTTGAAAACGGAGGACTTCCAGGTCCAGAAAGCAGGTGGCCTGTAAAACATGGAGAAAGCAAAGAGGCCCCCTCTTTCTCAGACCCTCTAGAAGGGGAGGAAGCTCACATCTCAAGTTTAGCCTAGTGATGTTAGGATCAGAGTCTGGCTTATAGAACCATAATCAATAAATCTGTTCTGGTTGGAGTTCGTGGCTCATTGCTGCAGCAAAGAAACCCCATACGATAAGCTTGTGTTGTTATAGAAGGCAGCTTAAGTACACCCCACTTCAAACCCGGCTCTTTTCTCATTATTCTTCTGATACCTTCAAGATAATTGTGCATATACTTTTATTTTAAAAGGGGGTATTTAAAATTTCATCAGATAGATGCACCATCATTTATTTCCCCAGCCCCTCACTGGACTACTTCCTGCCTGTAGTGACAGACAGAACTGTAACAGATAATCTTATACGTACACATCATTTTTTTTTTTAAACATCAGGAAACACATTCCCAGAAGTTAAATTGCTGGGCTAAAGAGCATATGTTTTTAGTTTTGCTCAATATTACCAAGCTGCCCTCTGCAGAGGTTACAGATCAGCACAATAAACCAACTAATTCCAAGCAGGAAGGCCCCACAGGCAACATGTCTGAGTTACACAAAATTCAAAGATGCCTTGTATAATTATCAGCTGTTGGAAGTGAAAGATACTCTCCATCAACCAGGCAACTGCTTCCTTTCACAGAGCTGGAATTTCACACAGGTTTTGACTGAAGAGAACTCAAAGAACATATCTAAATAAAGAGCCCTTGAGGGATAAAATGTGGCACACAACCGGTACCCACACATCCACCCATTCACTTAGTCTCATTTGAAACATTATCTTGCCCAGTTGGCTGGGAATGATGCAGCCCATTTGGCCTGGTTTCCCCTGGAAAGGGCTTTGCTTCTAAGCCAACAATGGGGAAGAGTCAGCAGGTCCCCTGAGAGCCCCTGGGTTTTGCTCTGCTTGTTGTTGTCTGTACAGTATCTTGGAAGATGGTATGAAATTGAGAAGATCCCAGCAAGCTTTGAGAAAGGAAACTGCATTCAAGCCAACTACTCACTGATGGACAATGGAAACATCAAAGTGCTAAACCAGGGGATGAGGTGAGTCACTGCACATGCCTGCCTGGGGTGACCTTGATCTGTGCTGATGCAGGCAGGGGCAGTCAGGGGCAGGGAGAAGGTGCATATGTTACTCAAGCTAGGTGGGATGGTCTGGACTGGAATGCATGTGTTCTCTTCTTTAACCACTGCTGAGCACCTACTGAATACCAGACCCTGAGCACCTACTGAGTACCAGATGCTGAGAGAGACAATAGGGAGTCAACAGCAACATAGCCAGGGCCCCTGCTCTCATTGCAAAATGGAGACTTTTGTCTGCCTTGTCTGGCCTCCAAACCAAGAGAGGAGGCCTTTCTGCCTACTACTCACAGAGGCCATAAAGTTTTCTTGGATACACCTGGGAACTTGGAGCTCATTTTATCCCATGGCAATTTATCCCATCTCCATTCAGCTTCCCTTGGCACCTTTTTCTCTTTGCTTTCTCTCTTCTTTTGAGTTAGGATCTTATGTAGCCCAGGCTGGCTTCCAACTCACTGTGTAGCCAAGGGTGTTCTGGAATTTCTGATCCTCCTTAGTGCTGGGACTACAAGTGTGTGCCACCAAGCCTTGTTTGTGTGGTACTAATGTTAACCCAGGGCCTTTTGTATGCTAAGCAAGCACCCTATCAAGTGAGACACATCTCCAGCCCCAGGTACCTCCTTTCCTAGCTGAACAAGGCATCAGATACGTGCACTCTCTGGCTTATGTCTTTTAGAAGTATGTACTTCTATCACTAAGTACACTGGACACCTATATTCAACCCAAAACTTTTCACTCTGGAGAGCAGACATGAAGACACCCAGGACGAGGTCCTTCTTGCCAACCCTCCACCAACAAAAGTTACATCGATAACAAATATGTTTAAGTATTTCCTATATGCAAGTCAGTCCCCAATCCCCTGAAAATATATTTGTTTAATCCCCATGGCAGGTACTATTATAAACCTCATGGGTGAGGAAACTCAGGTACAGCAAGGTTAAGCAACTTGTTCAAGGGCCATACAAGTGATGAGCATGATGAAACCTGGATTTGAACCCAGGAGAGGGGAAATGAAGAGAACAGAGACAAGTGAAAAAAGGCTGGGACAAAGGGTTGTTCTTTCTGTTCTCCACAAGATCTGAGGATGGTATTCAACTCCAAGAAAACAACCACACACAGCTCTCAAGTCCCTAGGTCCACAGAGGCCCTCTGTGGCCAACATAGCATCCACTGACTTTCCTGTTGGCCAGAGCCCCAGGGGGGGGATAGGGGGGGAGCTGACTTCCAGGCCATATAAACCAGAGATGGAAGGAAGGAACTCCAGCTCCTTTTGGAACCCCAGGGGAGAAGGGAGAAGGGAAGGGCTGACTGTAGGGGTTCAAATGTCTTTGCCAGGAATCACCCAAGAATTTTGCAGGCCCTGTATTAGTCAGCAGTTTCTCCTCACAGTGTAATTCCAGAGAAAATGTCTATTTGGGTCTTAGTTCTAGAAGTTCCATCTGAAATCAAAGAGCCTATTCCTTGAGCCTCTGGTGAAGGGGGCACAGCATCATGAGGACTTAGAGGAGAAAAAGCAGTTCACCCCAGGAGGAAGCAAAGAGAAGCAAGAGGAAAATGGACCCCACAATCCTCTTTGGAGGGACCCTGTGACCTAAGGCTGTCAGTCTCAACTCCCATGCCCACCATAAGAGTACCACCCTGGGGACCAAACCTTTACCAGGTCCTTTGGGGACATTTATCCAGATCATAGCAGACAGGGGAGTCCTATGACCTCTTTTCTTTATTTTTTATTTTAGTTTAGTTTTTCAAGACAGGGTGTCTCAGAGTAGCTCTGGCTGTCCTGGAACTCATGCTGTAGACCAGGCTGGCCTTGAACTCAGAGATCCACCTGCCTCAGCCTTCCAAGTGCTGATATTAAAGGTGTGTGCCACCTCCACCTGGCAATGATCTCTTTTCCTTGAACTATTATGTCCAATTAGATGCAAACCCATGAAGTTCACACATAGGGAGTGGGAATTCTCAGCCCGCGTTCAAGAACTTGGGGCCCAGAAGAGCCTGCATAGAGCTGGAAGAGTGAAGGGAGCAGGCTTTGCCTCTTGGCTGCCTGGCTCCGGATCAGACTAGAATGTGATCTCAGGTTAGCTAGCTCTGAAGCCAGTAGCAATAGAACTACCGTCCCAAGGCTGCCTCCACATTAAATGAGGTAAAAGGTATAATGCTCTTACAGCAGTGTTTGGCATGTGATAATCAACTAATAGACATGACCTATTCACGGCTGAACTCCTGCTACTTGAGAACACAGATTGGAACCAGTGAGATGGCTCAGTAGGCAAAGGCACCTGCTACCATGCCGAGTCCCACAAGTATCCTCTGACCTACACACTGATGTCATGATAGGAGTACACACACACACACACACACACACACACACACACACACACACACACTAAATGTAACAAAAACTATATTTAAAAGAAAATACAAATGTATTTTTTCCCATGAACTCATTGTGCCTTGATGAGCAGAGGCTGGTGTTTGAGAGCTTTTCTGGAACAAGACACAATGATAGTGAAGAGGAGAAAAGCCTGGTTCGTTGCTAAGTTACCATTTGCAGGTGGAAACAGACCATCTTCCAGGGGAGACAGCAGGGCATGGAGCCTGGCCCTGTGTGGTGACAAACTGACAATGCCGTGAGGAATGTGAGAGCACCTGTCCCAACCCCTTACCTGCTGCTTAGGGTCCCTGGTAGAACATTCCTGCAGGCAGATTTTTCTGTCCCTCCCGCCAGCTCCCAAGTCACAACACAGAGACTTATTATTAATTATGAAGGCTTGGCCAATAGCTTAGGCTTGTTTCTAACTAGCTCCTAGAACTTAAATTAACCCATATTTTTATTAATCTATGCCCTACCTTGTAGCTTTTACCTCTATCCCGTTTTGTGTGTTCAACCCATCCCACATCTGGCTGGCTTCTCCACCCTTATTCTTACCAGCATCCTCTGTGCCTGGAAATCTTGCCTAGCTATTGGCTGTTCAGCTTTTTATTAAACCAATCCAAGTGACACATATTCACAGTGTACAAAAAGATTATTCCACAATGCATCCCTCACTGCTAACCAAAGCGCTAACCTCCAGACTTCCTCACACATACTTAGCTCTCATGGTTGCCCTGCTAGAGGACTGACTGGCAGGCAGCTCCTTTGCCGACTGAAGAGGAGCACTCATGTCTAGGCACTCCCCTTCTCTGCCCCCCCCCAGGGTTTCCCCATTCTCTGGGTTCATGGGATCATTGGGAGTTAGCCTGGAGTGGGCCAGGTCCTTGTGAAGAGTCCAAGTACTTCCTTGGTCCCAATACCAGCACATTTAAGAAATGCCACTGTTTTATATACCTCTAAGAAAGAATGACTCTCTCTGCCACCGACAAACGTCAGGGTACAATTATAAGGTGTGTGTTTCTTCACAACCATGTCTCTGAGAACAGGGCTTGTCACAGAATCATAAAGGCCCGTTCTCCTCTTAGCCTCTGTGACAACCTGCTGCTCTGGTTCAAGTCTCCCACGCTCACTTGGACCCCCGCTGGGACAAATTGGAAAATGTCACTGCAGCACAGGGGTGAAGGAAGCGCTTCCAGACTCCTTCCTGCTTTGCGTTATTTTCAGTGATCTCCTTCCTCCTTCTTTGTTTCTTTGCCAGTCCTCTCCTCTGTGAAGGGATGAATCTTGCAGGGGGGTTGTTTTGTTTATTTTCCTGTTCCCCTTTATTCCGTCTCTTTGAAGCTTAGGGACAGGAAATGCCTGGAAGGCAAATGGCAAACAGCCCAAAAACCTGTGTTGAGATGCAAGGGTCGAGCATAGAACCCAACCCCTGGGCATTGTCATAGCTGCTTCTTGTCCACATGAGCTGTCTTCCTCCACTGAATCTCAGACCATCACAGTGGGAAGGACAGGGCCCAGGACCAGCACCTCTCTCACCAAACACCAGAGCCCTTAGGGCACAAAGCTTGACTTTCATTGAATTTTTTTTTTCAATTAGTTGTATTTTCTTCCTTTCCCATATCTCCTTTTCTTTCCTTTCCTTTTCTTACCTTGTTTCTTCTCCCTCCCTCCCTCTCTCCCTCCCTCTCTCTCTCCCTCCATTTGCTTTAGATCTGATGGAACCATGAACCGAGTTGAAGGGGAAGCCACACAGAGAAATCTCTCAGAGCCAGCCAAGCTGGGAGTCAAGTTTTATGAGTGTGAGTATCCACTTCTCTTGAGAGCTTCAGAGATGGAGATCTGTAGATAAAAAGTCGGAGCCCTGTGTTTGAACATGTCTGAGTGCTGTCATCAGGGTTCAATTCATTGTATACCTACTGTGTGCTGTTTCCTGGACTGGGCCCTGGGTTGTACAAGGATGCAGTTGATGGGCAAGATAGAGCTGTCCACGTCCTTACAGGCTGATATCCCATGTGGACACCGAGGAGGTACCAGACTACCTTGGTGTTCCAGGGGGCAAGGCCCACAGAGAGATATATGGCCTGAGTAGGAGACAGAATTCAGTCTGATCTCATGAGAAACAGATGCCACAAAATTACCAGATGTTAGGAAAAGAATCTACAAGTACAGAAGCTTGCCGGCAGGATGGGACAAATGTGAAGTCTGAGGCCACACTTTGCTGCTCTCTAGTCACTTTGTTCTGCTGGTTGAGTTCTGGTCTAACCTTGGAATGTACACTGACAGCAGAGAGAGTAGTTTGTTGCCTCTGTAGATAACACTGGAGAATTCAGCTCAGATTTGTGAGTTTTTCTCATTCAGGAAATGCTTGGGAGGCCCCTATCCCTACCTATCGGGCAGACACTGAAATCCCTCCCCACAACAGAAATCATTGTCTTTCTCCTCCTGCCATACCTGCCAGCACCATGACACATTCTTTTAAAAAAATTAATAATTTATTTAAATTCATTTTATGGGCATTGGTATGAAGGTGCCAGATCCCATGGAACTGGGTAGTTGTGAGCTGCCATGTGGGTGCTGGGAATCGAACCCCGGTCCTCTGGAAGAACAGCCAGTGTTCCTAATCACTTGAGCCATCTCTCCAGCCCCACCTGAGATTATACAGGAAGGGAAAACCCTGCTTCTTCACTCAGGATGGTAGATTTGAAGCCCAGGCCCTTGTCATGCATTCCTGACCCTCCTTGCTAAGCAGAGTCTCTGTGCACATGGATGCTAGTACAGCCAGACAACCCAAGGAGGCAGGCTGAACCCTGTCATCCTGCATGCCTTTTCCATTCTGCTGTTGGGGAGCAAGGGGCATAAAAATGGTCCTTGAGTAAGGCCACACGGTAGAATCACGGAGATGGTTGTTGGTGGTGTTGTTTTTAAATATCAAACATGGTGGTACACACCTGTATTTCCAGCATTGAGGAGGCTAAGGCAAGAAGAACACTAGTTATGGGTCGGCCAGAGCTAGCCAATAAGAAACGCTAGTAACTGGCCAACAATTTCATAATTAATACAATTAATACAATGTCTTTGTGTGTTATTTGGGGCTGACACGGCTGTGGGACCAGGCTGGTGGGAAAGTGCTCCTCACAAATCCGAGTTTGATCTCTAGAACCTGCCTAAAGCTAGAAAGAACTCCACAAATGTCCTCTTGACCCCCATACATGTGCCACTGCATGTGCCTCTGCCCCCATCATACACACACACACACACACACACACACACACACACACACACACACTAATTTTTTAAAAAGAAGGCCAGCCACTTGACACTTGAAGGTCTATAGCTGGAGAAGGGTGGCCTTAACATCTCTCACTGCCCCCATATGTTTCCCACATAAAGTACCAACCTAGCGATTGGGTCCCCAGAGCCCTGGAGAGGAGGCTCCCTCTGCCCTGGTCCTTCCTCATGCTGCTGCCTCCGTTCGCAGTGATGGCATTCTCACCGTACTGGATCCTGAGCACTGATTATGAGAGCTACGCCCTCGTGTACTCCTGCACCACCATCCTCTGGCTCTTCCACGTGGATTATGCTTGGATCCTGGGAAGAAACCCTTATCTCCCCCCAGAAACAATAACCTACCTAAAAGATATTCTTACTTCTAATGACATCGACATCTCAAAAATGACAGTCACAGATCACATGAGCTGCCCCGACTTCATGTAAAGGGAGGGCCAGCCTTTCTAGGTTACTTCTATGCTTTGCATTCCCTGGCTCCACTCCTCAGTCCTCATAAAGACACACCAAGCGACTGAGGCAAGTACCAGACCCCACACTGTCACCCTGCTAGCCCAATAATAAACTTTTTGCTGATCAGCTGTGTTCACAGTGGATTCTGAGTTAGGGTTATTGTGGGAAATTCATTAGAAGCAGATGGTGGGAAATCCTCCAGCAGTTATGTTTAGGGAAACAGTTCTGAACTGTCCTAGTTTAAAGGTAGGAGAAAGCCGGTGGCAAAGCCAGAGTTCAGTGAATGGACCCAGGGTCCCACTTCACAGCAGATGCCCCTCTGGAGGGATCCTGGGTGGTTTTCATTTCTGCCTGGAGGCTTCCTTGAAGTTAATTTCTCATCAGGAGAAATGGTGTGGGGATGATGAAAGAGAGTCCTGGGAGGCTTTGTGAGAAGAGGTGATTCTGGGACAGGACAAAGGGATTTTTAAAGCGATGCCAAATTTTGGCTTTCATTCTGTTGGTGTTTCCTGAGATCCAATTGCACTCCAGTTACTGAAAATTCCAGAGTCCATCCCCCACCCCTGCACCCTCTGGTCCCTATGCTTCAGCCAGTGAGAAAGATAACAAGATAGAGAGGGTGCCATGGGAAATCTGAGATCATCCCACCACCTTCAAGTCACAGGGTCAAGCTTATAGTTTGTCCAAAAGGGCATTCCCATGCCCCTGCTCCTCGAGGAAGTCAGGAACCACCTGGTATTGTGTTTTCTGACCCTGTGACTTTAAAAATCAAACCTCAGATTTACCACCCTGAAAGTGTGTTTAGTTCTTATGTAGAATATATATATTATATATATATATAATTTTTCATTTAATTAAAGAAAATAAACTAAAAATGTAGCTTCCAGTTCACAATTCAAAAAGCCTGAAAACTGCTGGGCAAAGGATAATGAGGGGGTTGTATGTGGTCAATTGCTTTCCCCAACACTGCCAATTGTGTCCTGTGTGTGTCACTGTACTGTCTACCAGAGGCACTTGGCTACTCTTCTAGAATACAATAATTTCTCAAAGGGCTAAGCTTCTTGTCATCTACTGTCACAAGGGAAAAACTAAATTGTGTAGCCAGTGAGATGGCTCAGCTGGCAGAAGCACCCAACACCAAGCCCAAGGACCTGAATTTGATCCCTGGGACCCACTTGGTGGAAAGAGAGAGCTAACTTCAGTAAGTTGCCCTCTGACCTCCACACATCCACTGTGGAATGCATGTGCCCACAACTCTAACCCTAACCCTAACGCACATACAAACATATACAAACATACATATACAATAAATAAATAAATACATGAGAATGTAAAAAGAAGCTGTGGTTTCTTTCTTCTTAGCTTTCTGGTAACATCTGCCTGAGCAAACTTCTGAGAGATTTGGAGAGCACAATACACAGGAACCAAGCAGGGAAAGAAACTACAGGGGAGAAGGCCAGTAGGAAACACAGAGCAAAATAAAGATGATAGTACATAGTAAGCCCGGCACAGCCATCATTAGCTCTAGCCATAACAAGGCATCTCTGGACTCACTTCATTATCATCTACAACACACCATTTTTTTCCCCCTGGAGTGTTTATAAAGCAAACCCCAGATATCACAGCTCATTACCTGGCCTATAACTACCTACATCTCTGGTGGAGTTAAGTATGTGTGAAACAAAAATATTGCAAGTTATGGCTTATGTCCTGGAGGTATTCAGAGAATGTAACTTTTACGTAGTTTTAAAATGTTTTACATAATTTAGGTGATGGGGAAGATGCATGCACAGAAATGCCCATGGTTTTATTTGTGTCAGCCCCAGATAGAAAGCATCGACACTAAGACAGATAGGGATGGGACCCTGGGTTATACAATGGCTGCTTGATGTCATGCCACAGTTCATGAAAATAGGAGAATTACCAAGTCACACGGGAGCTGTTGCTCTATGTGTTGGGTTTAGAGGTCCCTGCTGGTGGCTTTGCTGCTCTGTAGAAACAGAACATGTAACTCTACAGACTGAGCAGCTTCACTGTGTGGAAGAGACCTGAAGAGATCTGGAGATGAAGCTCACTGACATTGTGTGACGACCTGGCTTCAATTCCTAGCTTCCAAAACAAACAAATAAAAACCCTGAGAGGTTTGGAATGTTCCAGAGCTGTAAGACCTCATAGTTGGCAGTGACTGGTATTGGTGATTTACAATGGCAGGTATGAGAGCACCTAGTACAAATGCAGGTATCAGAAGACCTTCTGCCCACCCAAGGCTCCTCGAAGCAGCTTTGGCTGCCAGTGGCTTTCCATGTCCCAGCTCAATTCCTGTGAAGCTTGGCTGACTTAGTTCCTGCCCTTGGATTTCTGCAGGATTAGATATGTACACACATTCAGGGAGGGGCTGATATGAGAATACACACATGCACAGAGAAAGAGAAAGAGAAAGCACATGCTCCTTCCCCCGCCACACACACACACACACACACACACACACACACACACACAGATACACACAGAGCACATACCACCCCTCTCCCATAGCACACAGACACACACTCCCTACCTTTTTATTCTGAGATAATTTGACTTTACTGAGTAAATGTTCCTTGAAACCAAAATAGTCTCAAGACAAAAGAGTTAATAATATAATGTTTCATGGAAAAAAAGAAAGCAGCAATTTAACTGTGTAGTATTTATAGCTGCATGAAAATGGCATTAAATCAAGTACTAAGAGTGAACAAAGAAAATGAAAGCAATTAATGCGTTAGGGTGGTAGAATTATGGGTGGTTCTTCTTTTTTTCTTTTTTGTGGCTGCTATTTGTGTCATAAGATACATACAAACCCTGACTTCCTGGTCCTCTAGAAAGTGTCTAAGGCCTCCTTTTCCCAGAACAGCCTCAGATGTGGAGGCCTTCCAGAAATCTTCTCATGTTTCTAAGGTAAGGACATCATTTGTAAATATAGGGTATGTTATGTTTAATCTTTTTCACTTACTAAAGCAATTACTATTTACTACCAATAGGAACCAATATTCACTTCTAGAAGACATAAAGGGAGTTATCAAGTAATTTAGACAGCTTTTATTTCCACAGATGATTGGCTAAGCACTGTTTTCTTTGATAGCAGACTTTCCCCCAAAGAAACCATCTTAGCTTGATAATTATGAGTAATTGGAGGCTTTCAGTATTAAATATGTTAAATATCCAGAGTTAAATATGATAAAATCAATAGTTTTCTTAGTTATTTTAGTAAAATAGACTCAAGAGTTATGTGATGTTTTCCCACAGAAAAAGTAATGCGAACTCATTAGAAAGGAACATTGAGGCAGGAACCCCAGGAGTTGGTGGGATGGGGGCTGGCCTTGACTCCTAAGCCTAGCAGGTTCTCTAAGGATTCTCCTACACTGTTATGGGTTTGTGCAATAAGAAAATTGTTGCTGAGAGTATATTGCTACTTTTTTAGGGACTAGAATCTCAACATATCTATAACATGACTGCCAGGCACATGCCTAGACTGAGGTGGGTGGGTCAGAGAATTTAAGGCTAGCCTAGGCTACATAGTGAGACCTTGTCTTGGAAAACAAAATCAAACAACTAAAAGACTAAACTTTTACATTGCTTCTCCATGTATATGGTTTACCAAATCATTGTACAGTATCTGATGTATGTATTTCCCATAGGAATAAATACCTTTACTCCTACTACATGTTATATTCTATAGATTGCAAACTTTACATTTTGCTCTTCCAAGGTTTCCTGGTCTGCTAATAGAAAGTGAAGTTTAAAAATGTAAACCCTCAGTCAACTCTTTTTATTTTTGTTTTGGTTTTTTGAGGCAGGGTTTCTCTGTGTAGCTTTGGCTGTCCTGGATCGTGCCTTGTAGACCAGGCTGGTCCTGAATTCACAGAGATCCACCTGACTCTGCCAACCAAATGCTGGGATTAAAAGCCTGTGCTACCACACCTGGCTAAGTCAGTTCTTTTTAAAATATTTGTTTATTTAGTGTGTGTGTATGTCCCTATGAGTACACATGGGGGCTAGAAGAGGCTATTGGGTATCCTCCTCTATTATTCTCTGCTTTATTCCTTTGAGGCAGGGTCTCTCCCTGTAACTAAAACTCATGGTTTTTGACTAGGCTGCAGTCTGCAGTCATCATCTTGTCTCAGTCATTCCCAATACTAGGGTTGCAGGTGTGCATGAACTCACTAATTGTATGGGTTGTAGGCATACATGAGATCACAAGTTTCATGGGTGCCTGGATCTGAACTCAGGTCCTCATGATTGCACAGCAAAGACTCTTAGCAACTGAGAAATCTTCTGCTTTAAGCCCCATCAACCCACCTCTTCAGTATCTTCAGTATACCTGGAAACCCAGAGATAGTAATGGTTCATTCAGCTTTGAAACAGCTGTCAGTAAACAAGGTTAAAGGGGGATTTGAGCCAGGCATGGTAGTGCATGCCTTTAATCTCAGGAGGCAGAGGCAAGAGGATCTCTGTGAGTTCGAGGCCAGCCTGGTCTACAAAGTGAGTTCCAGGACAGTCAATGCTACACAGAGAACCTCGCCTCAAAAGAAGGGGGGGGGGCATTTGAGATAAGAGCTGCCAGATGCTAGAGCTCAATGATGTGGTGTAGTCAAGAATGGAGACTTTATTCACAAATATCTTAGGTAAAAAAAAAAGGGGGACTGGTGAGGTGGTGGCCCTACAGGCACCATCATCCAGTTACGAATGGGACTTCAAGCAGCATGTCCCAGGGAACTCAAAGAGATGTGAAAACGTTCCATACAAACCCAGGGTATCCAGATGTGTGCAAACATACCAGACTCAATGGAGCTAGCTGGGCTAAAGAAACAGAAAAATGTGCTGTACCAAATTCACACACGTGTGCTTGTCCAGAAAACATAATGGGGATGATGATTCTCAAACAGGCACTGTGCATTGATTACATCACAACCTGTGACCATTCAAAAGAAGTAACCCACTTGTCTCAGTCAGCATTGATTGTCAATTTGGCACAGCCTAGAGTCATCTGGGAGGAAACTCTCAATTAAGAAACCCTTAGGTCAGATTGGCCTGTGGGCCTGTGTGGGGGAGTGTGTCCTGATTATTAACTGATATGGGAAGACTCAGCC